TCCCCGATTTTCTCGCAAAGAGCCTCTTAGGGGAATGTTTGGCCTCCAAGCGCGGGGATGGTTCTAACCCAAACGTTGCTTGGATGTTAGGACTTTAACCTCTTACCAACTCATATGGTTTTCCATTAAACCACTAAAAGTAAAGCTTTTAGCAGGGGAGCAGAAAGCAACCGAGTTTTGCTCGGTTCGTCGTTTACCATGCCTTGTGCTTGACATCTTCCATGGTTTTTAGCAGACGGATGATGAGGCGCATTCCGAGCAAGCACTAGATGACCTACCCGTGAAATACTTGGATATCCATTGCCATCCCTTGACAATTCAAGTATGGCACCCCAAAAGGCGTCCGCTGTATGATTGTAAGGAGCAAACTGCGACTCTCGGGAAATGTTGAGTGCTTTCAAATTTGCACAAGGCTTGCTTGTCGGGGGCGCGCCTCTGCTCTTTGCTACATCTATGGGTCCACTGCATTGCGGGTTAAATGTCAAATGTCAACCCCCAAGAAGTGACGAACGTGGGTTAAACATGACCCTCCCCCCCTGAGAAGCCCTGAAAGTGTCCACTTCTTTGACCCCAGTATATCATAGACATTCATAAACCATGTTTTCTTGGTGACCATATGGGAATCAGGTTACCCTTAAATTAGTGGTTTGGATTGGCTGTTTGGGGGTGTTCGTAGACGGTAAGTGGGAAGCACCCCTCAAGCACCAAACAACCCATCCACCAAATGGAGGGAAACTGAGTAAAGCGAAGCCACTGGAGGAGATGTGACAAAGCTGTCGGGGACGGTCCTCACCAATTTGTGGGTCTATGAGTTTGGGGCACTTTGGGATCACAAAGAAGGCGTTCCATCGCGAGTGGTCTTTTTTGGGAACCCCACCAACTGGGACTGAGCTGGCTGTGGCTCAACAACATGGAAATGGCACCTTTGGAACCAAAGACTAAAACCTGCGTACTTCCAGCCATGTAGTTTTGGGCCACATCCATTTTTAGGTAATGATGCTTAGGCAAAGTGCCTGGAAAAAGGATATCGATCGCAACGCAGGCGACAGAATTCCATGACCTCCGTGGGCCTGGGCAACCCCTACTTGAAGAAGGCCTCAGGGCGCAGTGCGCGCGCGTGGCGCATGCGTGGGTGGGCGCGGTGGAAGTGAGCGCGCCAGTGTGAGCCAAGGAGCGCGCGTGTCGGCCAGCGCATTTGGTGTTAAGAGGAAACCCAACAAAAACACCTGGCAGCTCTTTTGGCCCCTTCAGCTCTTTTAAGCAAATGCGCAGCTACTACGTGGCTGCTCTTTTGGCGGGATCTTTGAGAAGCCACTTTTGAAGTGCAGAGATGTGTAGTTTCACAGTGCCCTGTGTGGCCGTGCGGTTCTTTTTCCCCCGGGGAGGGGTGGGGGGGATTGCCTTGGGATTTCCTTTCGGAAACGCCCATCTCCTTTCCCGCGGCCGAGATATGGTACGTAAGCTTCAGGGGGCTTTTCAAGCACGTACGCCAAGGTCAACCCGTAGACCGACCCCCAGATCTGTGCTTTTCATATGCTTCCTTTGCTTTACAGAAGGGTTCACTTTGCTGTGTTTTGATATCTAGGGATTTATTAAGGATCAGGATTGGCCAGCCCATCAGTTTTAGCAGACCAAGTTGCCCTTTCACCCTTTTTTGGGGGAAGGGTTCCCCTACTAAGTAGTCAGAACAAAGGGTACCCTTATTCTAACCTCTCTGCTGGATGACCTAGCCAAGTCATGCCACTGGTTCACACAGACTCAGAAGAGCCAATGGCAGACGTTTGGACAACCTGAATTGTGAGAAGGGAATGGCGCTCCTTTGTGACCAGAGAACCTTCTCGGAGGTGCATTTTGCCAAGGGATGTGTGGACTTTATTTTTTTGCCAACTAATGGGTTTTCCATTAAACCACTCAAAGTTAAACTTTTAGCAGAAAGCAACTGAGTTCTGCTCGCGAATCATGATTCATTCAGTGACCCATACCCCTGCCCCGCTCGGTGTGGATCATGCTTGTGTTATTTGCGAACGATGTGGATTCTACTCACTGCTTCGGTTGGGCATCAGTTTCAGTTTTACTCAACCCTGTAGTGGACATCACTTCAGTCGGGGTTGATGTGTCCACGTTTGAGGTGCTTCCATGTTGAAATTCATAGCCATTTTGACCTGTGATTAGCACTCCCTGAGGCTGGATACAGGCACATTTGACAAGCATTCAGCTGCATATGTGCCATGGTTTGAGTGCTATAAGTGCCTCTGCCGCACACACACACACACACACACACAAACGCAAGTGCACACGTAGACGCACCATTTGTTTGTTGGCCTCCCGTCAAGAAGACCGCTCGGTGTGGCCAAACTACGGTCAACCTATGTGTGTTGGGTTCTCTAAGTATATTTTAATGTTCAAATACTTAGTTATGGATGTTTTGTTTTTTGATTGTCTCTCTCAATATACGCCATATGGTTTGCATCCTTTTGTTCGCCGTTGAAGGCACCAGCATCCCCGCCCCCTTTAAAAAAGGAATTGGGGGAGGGGGTGACCACTGGAGTTTCCCTTTCATGGGGAAGACTCGATAAATGGAATCGGGCCCCCTACCCCCTCCCCCTAAGGTAGGGGGGATGCACCAGCAAGGGGGGAGCCTGGCTTCCGGGGCCGAAGATACGGCCAGGAGCCCATTGACTTTACGCGTCAAGCGGACGCTTTGCTCACCGACACGGAGAAGAGTCGAACCTATTGGCGCGCCGGACGCGAGGGCAGGGTTCTACCTTTTTGACCAGGGTAGACTTCATCCCAAGGATGGTCATTCCCCCCAAAAAGGTCAATTTTTAAGGTTTAAGTGCATCTCAGGGTACTCAAGAAGTAGAACCCTGCGCCAGGGTCGGCTTGGGGTGAGGGGTGGTTTCCCGTTTCTCGTCTAGAATCAGGGGTTCAAACTTCGAAACCATGAATCCAAACCACCAGCTAAGGGTTGTTTGAGTCATTCAATTTTGGGCTGGCACATTGGTCTTAGGCGATTTTTGTGACAAAGTAGTCACAGGGACTAGGGTTCATTTCTTGGGCACTCGGCCAAACCCACTAACTTGGGGGTAAATGGGTTATAACTTAGGTTACTAAGTATAGCCACTTACTTGGCCGAACACTGCGGTAGGCCCGCCCACAATTAAAGCGAGTTCACCCACAAAGGTTCAGGCGCTTCCTTTCGCCAGGTTCCTCTATGACCGGGAGGTAGCGGTGGCAGCAATGGGCGTTCAGGCCTGCAGCGATCCTCCAAAAAACGTGGCTCGGGGTACCCGGGCTTGCGGGTTCAGGAAAAATCCCCGCAAGAAAAGAAGAAGAAGAAACAAAGCCATCTTCAGGGGTTCCCTGCAAGATGGTCTAAGATTTGTTCCCTCATTCTTTTCACCCGTTTTTTAAATAGAAACACCCGAATTTTCCAGAGGCTTGGCCCATTGGAATGCCTCAAGAGGATGCTAGAGTTTAATGGGAAACAAGGGAAGGTGCCATCTAATTTCACAGACTTTCCCAACAGGAAGCCCAAAAGGGATGCGTGATTTTTATTTTTTAGAGGCCCACCGTTTAGCGCCCGGTAACCTAAAACGGGGGGCTGGATTTCAACCTATCAAAGGGCATGCCCAGCCCTATGCTTCACCTGATGATTGATGCAACACATCCCAACCTGTTTCTTGAAGGCATTATTTTCGCAACCAGAAGCACGCAACAAATCCTGCTTTGGGAGGCCTGTCCTCCTATTCTGAGAAGAAAATAACGGTGTTGTTCAACAATTGGCTGCCCTGTGTTGGTATTATTACTGCCTCCCTGCATGGTTGTTGTTGGGACACATTTTACATTTTTGTTTATTGTGGTTTAGTGGTTGAAATCCCCACCTAGCTGCTAAAATTTGAAAATTGTTGCTCCCCAAACCCAACGTCAACCAAGCCTATGTTGGTATTATTTCTGCCTCCCTATATGGGCATGCAGGGCTGGATTCCTGAACCGATTCTAGGTTTTCCAGTGCCCTTCTCTCCCCTTTTTGGGGGGATAGTTCCCCCACTAAAACAGCCTACAGCAAAAAGGGTACCTTTATTCTAACCTCTCTACTGGAGGTCCTAGGATTTGTCTGACCTGCAAAAGGGGTACCTCTGGCAACTGCACCAGTTGGTGGGTGGTGCGCCGCGAGTTTTTAGCCCTTTCTGACTGGTGCGTGGCGTGGATTTTGTCCATCCGCTAGATTCTTTGAGACCAAGCCCAGGTGCTTAAGCTTCAGTTCGCATTTAATGTTCTCGCTTCCTGAGTTTCTGGACTTTAGTCACTTTTGGGGGGTTTGGACCGTTTCTTTTTGGAGGTCACCTTTTTGGAGGTAAACAAAAAGTTTGAACTATTTGATGGCCCATCCACTTAGGAACTGAGAATGTCCCGAGACCAATTTGTGGCAACACCCACTCGAAATCCTTCCTGGCACGTTTCGCCAGGCAAATCCGCAGGCGGACTCGTGCCGTGGCAGCCTGAGTCGAAGTCTTTTTTGGTCGCTAACATGGAAAGACTTGCGAAGCCAAATACTTGCTGCTGCGATCAGGGAATGAGACATGGAATGAACCGGAAGGGGGGAATTGGTCGCGATTAGGAAGCCACCAGTTGGATGACTTTTCCTTTCTTTTTTTTCCGGTTGTTCCAACTCATTCCCTGGCTGAGCGCCTGCAAGAAGAATGCGAAGCGATTGTTCGGAAAAGCATTGAAAGACAGGAACGGAAGCCAGCGAAACGGACGAGCGAATCGCAAAGAAGGGGGTCAAAATAAGAGTGGTCGCCACCGCAACCCCATCGGCCCGTACCGATCCTAGCAGCAAACGCTACCTGGGGCCCCAAAACACTGCGTGTTTTTGTCAAAAGGCTTTGCCCGAAAAAAAAAAAAGTCATACGGCCAAATACGTTTTCCTTCGCTTTTTTTTTCCAACATTGTATCGACTAAATACGGGTTTTATACGGTCAAATATGGGCACCTCAGGCAAATGCCCGGCAAAAAAACAATCGGGTAAAAACGGTCCAAATATGCCTTTTGATCGAACCAAAAAGTGGCGTTTCGGGGGCTGCAGTCTGTGGAATGTTTGTGAATACGGGCCCAGCTGACCAGAATACTGGTCCAAGCTCACTCCAGACGGAAAAGTGTACCAGGAGGAGTCTGTTCTTTCTTAGATGTTCAAGATCTTCGGCAGCCTTCGAGTCACCAGCCTTGCACGACCGGACCAGCATTCATTTTCTTCAATCCCAGTTGCCGCTTCTAAACTCGGCAACCTGCCTTCGTGTTTTGGGGGTTCCTACGGGGGTGGCTTCCTTGGTTGGTTGAGAATTACATCAGTGTGTGTGTGTGTGTGTTTTTAGGGTACCCTATGTTTGGTGGTGTAAAACCAAAAGCATACCAGGGGTCCCACATTAGGAAACCAACCATAAACCAGGGGTCCCCACACAGAGGAAGCCAAAAACCAACCATTTTAGGGGTCCCCATATTTGAGACACACCCACAGGAGGAAATATAGTCACAGGGTCTTGATCTTGCAACCCCGCTCCGGTCACAGGGCTCCTGACCCGCTTCAAAGACTGCTTCAGCGGTTTTCGGGAGGAGGCGATCGCGGGATGGGGTCAGGGGAGAGGGGGATCGGGCCATTCCACACCTGAGATGCGAGGGTTGACTTGCAAACGGACAAGGCATGGTTGTTGTTGGGAAACAATTTGCATTTTTGCTTGTGGTTTAGTGGAAAATCCCCACTTAACTGCTAAAAACTGAGTTTTTGCTCCCCTTCCAACGTCAATCAAGGAGCAACTTAAAGAAGCTGATGCCAAACTGGGTACACCGCCTGTACTAGCCCGTGTAATATCGTGCGTTTTTTGCTTCGGAGCAACCTCCAAGCTGCGATTACAGGGGGGAAAGGAGAGCACTGTCTGTCCCTCATGTGAAATGCGCCGAGCCAGCAGGAAATTTATTGCGTTCCCAAATCCCACTGTCACGCTGCGTTCAAAAATCCCACTGGCACGCTGCTTTCAAACGCTAGCTTTTTCAGCCCCCAACTATCGTCTGTCAAGCATTTTGCCACGTTCAAGACCGCATGTTGTTTGGGAACCGAATGATGAATTCTCTTGTCAAAAGCTGACGGGAGAGGCGTCCTTCATCTGTTGTTCACCCAAAAGTTAATTCCCCCTAATCTTTGTCGTTTTTTGGCTGCAGGCCACACAGGCTCAAGAGGAGCCAGCGTCGTCTGTCAAGCGTTTTGCCGTGTTCAAGACCGCATGTTGCCTGGGAACCGCATGATGAATTCCAATTTCAATAACTGACGGGGGAGGGGTCCTTAATCTGTTGTTCACCGGAGGGATGGGGCCATTGGCAACACCCACTTTTGTTTTTTAGGGACCCCCAAAACAACATGGCCCCGGCTCCACTTGGGGAAGCCCGAATCCATTTTTGGGGCGTCCAACCTTAAAAATAACACTTGCGCCCCCCCCCCCCCCCCCAAAACAAAACAAAAGAAGTTAACATGGTTTCGGTTCCCCCCCCACCCCCAGACACCAATTGAGTGTTTTCCTGTTGACTATTCTTTGAACTTCACCAAAAAGAACGGTGTACCCAAAAAACAAAAAAGACTCGGCCCTGGGCTTTGCCAGGTGTGCCAGCAGCTGCGCTACGTCATCGTGTCCTCGGGCAAGCGCCCCATCTCCCTGCGGGTGGCCGGGAGCTTCAGAACAGGGCAGCATCTGGTTCCTTAGGCGGTTGGTCGGTTTTAGTGGTAGTTTCGATGTCTCCACGAACCCCACTTAGAAGTCTTTTTTAGGAGAAAGAACACTTGTAGCAGGGGATCTGTGGACAGTTTGGGGGGTTTTCCTTCGAAATGAATGCCAAAAAAGGCGTTCAACCGCTTTTTCCTCCATCATCGATTTGTTCCAGCTTTGGGGCCATCAAAGTGACCGTATATGTGGGTTTGTCGACACATTTCTCGACCTTTTTGACGGGATCCTATCAGCCCTTGCAGTACCTTTCATCAGGCAACAAATAAGCAATCAGCTGAAAATGGGGAGGTCCCGGTTGGCTTTTTTATACGTACCGAACCAACTTGATACACAATGATCCATGGTCGAAACACCTTGGGTAATTTGGGGTTGGGGATAAGTGATCAAGGTTTGAGTGGATGTTGGTGCTACAGATTGAATGCAAACGGGGCTCAACAGGGTCAGCAGTGATATGAACTCATTCGGATTGATGTGCTTTTACGTTTTTATGTTCTTCACTGGTATGTCTTTCGGTGTTTTGGTTCTGTTTGTTACTGGGGGGGCTGCAAAACAGCAACGCTTTAGTTTCCAATTGAGGCTTCCGGGATATGTCGACTGGGTCAGCTGAAAAAAGGTCACATTTCAATCGACAACTTAGTGCTAGGGGTGGTTTGCCATCTTCTCTCCACAACAACCAGAACCACCAATCCAAACCGCCAACTAAGGATTGCCGGACTTGGTATGGTAGCTCAGGGCCCAAAGCGACAAACCCCGGATCGAGTTTCCCTTGCTCTACTCAGCCAGCACATCGACCGGATCCTTGGGACAACCAACCCTCTTCGGTTCCCATCTTTGGCCCAAGGTGATCGCCTCTGATGTCTGGGTCAAGGGGCAACTGAGTCTGCCAGAGATGAGAAGGTTCGGGATCAGACAAGTCAAGGAGTGACCGCTAGCTATTTCGGCGGCATTGTTAAATGGGCGGGGGGTCTTGTTTTGAGGTGACCCGTTTTGCGAGAAAAGTCTGCATAGGCACTTCGTGCAGGCACTTGTTGCGGCGTAGGCTCGCGTAGGCACCCTTCCAAAGGTTTTTGCACACCCACGGCAGCTCTGCGTCGGCATGGCAGCCAGTGAATAGGCCTGATACACCCCAACAAGTCTTTGCTCACACTTTGAAGTGCCTTCATTTGCTAGGTCCTCCAGTAGTGCAGCAAAACATCGGCTACCCTTATTCTAACCTCTCTACTGGAGGACCTAGTTTGGGAGACGAACCTGACATGTCACCCAGGCAGCAAGGGCTCCCGGTTTCGTCGTCAAATCGCTGGCCATCTTTTAAGGGGGTCCATCTGTTTGCGGCCCGGCGAACACGGGACCTTCAAATTTCCTCCCAAGTCCAAAAGGGCCCAGTAGGTCTGTGCGTTCATCGCTCGGTTCGGTTAGACATAGATGGGTTCCACTACTGCAGATTGGTATTCCGCCATCCATGTCTACCGGGGAAATCCCGTCTATGTGCCCAAAAGGTCATGGCCCAGAACCTCTCCCAACCGATTTGGGCAACACGCAAACAAATTTCGGCTTCCGATATTACAGCCGGAGGTGCACATTGACGCGCCGCCTGACATCTCCATCCCTCGATATCTGCCGCGTGCTGAAAGATGACCTTTGTTTGTGGGCCGTTTTCACACACGCGGCGGTTCCCAGCAGTCCGGGTCCCTTCAGGCTTTGGAGTTTGTAGTTGGTTTGAAATTGGTGGTTGGGTTTCCAGCAAAATAGAAGGCTTTTGGCAGGGGATCTGAGGCTAAAACTCCCTGGCGAGAGAAAAACAAGGATGCGGGGATGGCCTCGTTCAGTGTTGCGGAAAAGAACCTGTTCCGCAACCATGGTGTACAACGTCGCTTCATGCTGCGTGCTTGCTTTGGTATGGGTTATGGATGGTCAATGTTTCAATAGGGATGTTGGTATCCTTTAGAAAGATCCTTGAGGGATCCAATAGCATAGCTTGTTCCGGAGTTTTCACCACAGGTTTGTTTTTTGGACTCGGGGCACATCGCCTTGTGGATTGCTTGAAGCAAGCGAAAGCGTGGACCCGGAACGGCAAGCCAACTTGTGGATCCGGCCAGTGGATGGTTCGGGGCATGCCTGTAGCTCTGCGTATTTCAAGGATGGGCCAGGCTTCAGTTGCACTGGGCTTCTGGACCCCAGCCATTCTTTTACCCATCAAGGAATCTGTTTGGGGCGGCATGCAAAAGGTGAGAAGGGTGAAAGCCTTGCTAGTCCAAAGCGAGCTCATGTTCTTTCTTTTTTTTGGTTGGTGCATGAGAATCGGGTGTGTCTCAAGGTCTACATTTGTCAATTTCATTTCCGCGCAAAGGGCAAACCAGTCACCTGGCAAGCCAAGCCGGTGGATGCAGTTCATTGCCGGTGACCATGGGAAACCATGCGTGCCATGGTCCGTCACTTGGGGTTACACCAGGTAGTAAGGATCCTTACTGAGCGCACCTGACCGCTATTCTGATTCCCAAGCAAACCATGGCGATAGGCCATATAGGCAGTTTTGACCATGGCTCGTATTGTAAGACCCAGAGCTAAGAAGCTCTGGTAACCTACGGCGGGAACGGAGGCACGGGGCAATGGAAAAAATCTAAGAAACCAACTATACAGGAAGTTCTACAGGAAACCCCCGATTTTTTTGTATTGGGAATTTGGGCTAGTTTCCCGTAGAACTTCCTGTAGCCGGTTTCTATATGAAAAAAAAAAGCCCGGAAGCCCCCGGGAAAGAAACGAAAAAACACCAAGGAGGCAAATCGCCGAGCTGAGGGCGCGGTTTTGTGTCACAAGCCGAGGTTCGATCCAGTTTCATGGAGGGAGTTGCCGTGGCAAGGCTGGGAACGGGTAGAACAAATCGCGCTGTTCCGAGCATCGAAGGGACGGTCCGGTTTCCGACCACTTCCCGAGTTTCACTTTGAGCACATTGATCACTTTTCTGGGGGTTGCGAACATGTTAGTCTAGGTCATCCACCAATTGGTGCCCGTTTTTGTTGCCGTTTCTTTTTGGGGTGAGGGTTCCCCTACCAAAATAGACTACAGAAAAAAGGGTACCCTGATTCTAACCTCTCTACTGGAGAACCTAGTAGTGGTAAACTACAATTGAGCTGTTTTGTTTGGCTCATCCACTCAGGAAGTGATTCTTTCTCAGTGTTCTCGGACTTCTCGATGTTCTTTGCAAACGATCGAAAATCGATGCCCTGTGTATGCACATAACTGAGGAATAGTTCCAGGCAAAACGCTGCTTTCGCAGCTACTTGCCGTTTGACTAGAAATGAAAGGACCAAACATGAAGACCTTCAGGGGGTGCCATTTTCGTTTTGTAGTACGGATTCCCCGGTAAGATCAATGAACGAAAAGAGTATGTACCAGTTCTTCTCAGCCGCTAGAGGTCTTGAAACCCTGGTGTGGTCCGTGATTTCCGCAAGCTGGGTTGGGCTTGATACTTGAGAACATCTTAGCCATGCAACCATTCGACTACCCTTGTCTCTTACTGGAGTGCTTTCACCACCCCGAAAACCCCTGCCCCAAAGTTGAAAAAAATCCAACTGTCCTTGCGCTGTAGTGTACCTGGTACCCACTCTTCACACATTGGCAAAATCAAAACAAGTGTTTGGAACCTTGGAGACACTGTTTTTGAGGGCTACAACGTACCCCCATGAGCCTCTCCGCTCCTAAAATGCTACACGGTCCTTTGGTGTCCCTATGCAAAAGGCGAGCCCGGGATTTTTGAGACACTGCACCCGAGTCACCTCCTGAAGTTCTTGGGCGTTATGATCCGGTTTCAGTGGCCTTCTCAGCGTACATGTGCTAAAAACCGGTGACACCCGTCAGTTCATTCATTTCGGTCCCAACAAGCACTGTTTGAACACATGGGAGAGGCAACCTTGGCGCACTGAATGAATCGCCCTTTCCCAAGTCCAAAACTGACGCCCCCCCCCCCCCAAGGCGACTCCATGGAAGCTCCCAGGGTCCCAGGAGTTTTTTTGAAGACCTCCAGTGGCCTGGGAGCGCCGGCTGTGACTCTGAGGGTTTTGCAGGTCGAGGTCTTTGAGTTGCCACATGCAACGCCTCGAAGAAATGGTATGAGAAGTCTCAGAAAAGAAGAAACAGCATCTGAGCAATCGCCATGATTTAAAAACATGGGGCGGGGGACAAAGTCAAGGTTTTCCTTGGCCACCCTATGTCGGTGTACCTTCAAAGGTACACTCATGGTCAGTTTGTTTGTGGCATTTTGTGGGTCTTGTCGGAGAAGCCTCGGGCTCCCCAGCTTGGCTCCCAGGCATCCGGTCCCTTAGCCCTTTTTTTTAGCTTCTTAGTGTTTAGTGGTTGGTTTTCATTTGCATCCCCTTAGTTTGTTTTTAGTTGTTTAGTGTTTAGTGAGGTTTTCCATTTGGCCCACTCAAAGTTAAGTTATTCACTTTTTGCGGGGGAAATCTCAGGACAGCTCAAAAAGGGGGCAAAAAGATAGAAATCAGAGAGCTCAGGGTGCAGCTGCGTGTTCCAGCCGGACGAGGCGCACCTTCAGCTGATCAAGCGCCCGGGGCCCTGGACGTTTTCCGTTGACACGCCGACAGATGGGTTTGGATTTTCTTTGGGGTGTTTACGGCACTTGGGAAATTGTCGTGTTTTGGAGTTGGGACTCCTTTTGTGGTGGCTTGAAAGGGAAGCCAAAAGAGATTTCGAGGGAAACCAGAAAGCAAACTTCCATTTTGGGCCATATAGAACCCTAGTTCCTCAAGGAAACCTGCAAGTGGGTGACCCGGAAATTCCTGGATGAGCAGCCAGGCATCGGGGGAGCACTTGCCCGCAGCTGTGAACACGCTTTCAGGCAACTTGTTCAACACCAACATGTCAGCATGTGCCGTTTGTTTTGAAGTTTGTACTCGGCCGCACTGTCGGCCACCAAAAAAAAGGCCCGAAACGAATGTCTAAAGGGCCGAGTCGTGAAGATTCATGGCCGTTGCAAACTCGGGTCATTCCCTAAGGGAATCCACGGGGTGCTTGCCCCTTGTGTAATTCGGGGTCGTTGGGACGCCAGGTATATGGACAATAGGATGTGCTTTGAATCGACGGGCGCATAGCCCTTGCTGCAACCATGTGGCAAGGCGTCGCAGCCTAGCGGTTTGGAGTTCGTCCTCGCCGAAGAAAAAGACGGGGGTAGGGACTTTACTTTGGACAGGCTTTGCTGAGCCGGTTGTGGGACAGCCGGCTTTCTAACGGTGGCGAAGCTGAAGAAGCACTTCAAGGGGATAAACCATTGACCCTGGGTATCTGTGGGTAAACTTGGCTACCTTGCATGTACCTATGATGTATATGGCTTCTTTGGTACGACAGTTGCAGCAATGTCAGTGTTCATGTTGAGAAAGGGGATCACCTCGAATCATGACCTGGGTAAGAGCTTCTCGTAAGCTGCAGCATCAAGGGGCTCGCGTATGGTGGGCATCAAGAAAACCGAGTTGCTGCAAACAGAGGGGGGCCGCCGGGCCTTACTTTTTCGATCTGACGCTGCACCTTGAGCTCAGTTGTCCCTTCGTGGGTCCAGTTTGATAGGTCTCACCGAGGGGTAGACCTCTTTGGTTTCAGGGCGCTTTGGGCAAGCGAGTGAGAGAGTTCGATTGGCCACCATCTTTGGGCTTTCCATTTCTTCATGCGGCTTCAATCATGGTCGCTTAGGCCCAGAGAGTCTCCATTTTTAGTCCCATGGTGGCTTTGGAGAAGCTTGGCCGTGGGTGTAGAAAGGTCGGGTTTCCGCATTTCACCCACACAAAATGATGAATATAGGAATCATAAAACACATGCAGGGGGTTCACTTCTAGCAGATCTGAGGACAGCCGTCCAGGGTTTAGAGGTCGGGTTTCCGGATTTCACCCACAAGTTAAACTCACTTTTCGTCAGATCTGAGGACAGACCAGACGAAACCGATTTGGTTTGATCGTAGTCTTTCCTCGGAGTTCTCGGGCATTTGTCAGGGTCTCACACGGGTAGGTTTCTTTGATTCCGTTGGTTGCTGGCTTGCCACACACCGCTTGATTTGCATGGGTTAAGTTGACACTTTCTCTGATGCCCCCAAAATCGCCCGGGATCCTCTGGGTTTCTTTTCTCCGATACCCCCTCCCCCCAAAAAAATAATGATCTGCTGGGTTTCTTTGCAAACCGCTTCGTTCCAAGAATCGGTCGAGGCGCTCAGCAGCTGATCGCAGCTTCCCCTTTGGGCACGCTTTATCAGCTGATAGGACCAGGCTGGACAGCGGAAGCTGGCCAAGTGGGCACGCCTGTTTTTGTTTAACCCTTCTTGGCGCCAAAAGGAAAACCTCATTTTTTGTTGGGGCGGAGGGTCTTTTTTCAAAAAGACACACCCAAATCCAGACCTAATGCGCTTCCGCAGTATGATTTTGTGAAAGGAGTGTGTACCCCGATAACAAAAAGAACAAACAACACAACACCCCACCGCCTCTCACAATCATGCTCTGGGGTTAAGGCAAATGAATTCGTGCCCCCATTAAAGATTAGGTTTGCAACGCTGATGAAGGAGGCTATGGGGATCCACTAGTTTTAGCGAATGAATTCACCCAGAATCTTGCCTCAAGAGCCAGGTTTGGCAACGGAGCTTTGGCTGGATTGCTTTTTCTTGGGAGGGGGGAGGGGGGGGGGGCTAACCCATTTTCCTTCTCCTGACTGACTCACATCCATCCAACGGTTCGCATGGCAATGTGTCAGTTGCGTCACATCAATTTGTCGAGTGCAAAAGCGCAGGTCTTTTGATCGGCTAGTTTGAGTAATAGATGGTACTAGTTTAGATTTGAATCATTCCATTTTCCATGGCCACCCTTTTTTTCAAAAGGTCACCTATGGTGGTGTGCCTTTCAAATCTGCCAGAACCAAAACGTTTGTCCTTGTTTTCCATGACCACTTTGCAAGTGTTTGATGCTTTGACACTCCTTACCCTTGGTTGAGCATGCAGAGACCCCTTTACATTTTGAAACCCTCTTTGTGGCTTTTCTCTATATTCTTCTTTGGCAACTTTGACGTCACCTTTTGGTTGCCAATGTTCAATGAGTTTCCTTGGGGGCGGTGATCTTTCATATGGAGAGCCCCGTTTGAGCGTGCGAATGCTCATGGTAAATCTTGCTTTAGTGCAAATGTTTGCCGCCGGCTGGCTACAGTATATTGAGAGGGGCCAGAGACCTGCAAACCCTCTCCAAGGGGCTCGAACTTTGCCTTCTCAGCATTCATAGGATTCCAATCTTCCCATCTCTACTAGTGAAAGCATGGGGGAGGGGTACGCAAAGGGAGGTTTCACGAGTTTGGCAAAAGGCATACCCTTTCGCCATGAGTGCTCGAAGGATGGGGTCACAAGACTGCTGCCGCTGGGTGTACCTGGTCAAGCCAACAAAACACGCCCTTTGGTTGACTTCCGAGTCTGAAAATCAGGGACACACACCCATGTTTGCATCTGATTGTACAACTGTTCAACACAAGAGGCGGGGGTGACGAGCTTTTGGACACGTGGCACTTGTGAGGAAGACCATGTCTGTGTGCTAAGTGGGCTCGCTCACGTTCTAGACGTGCTCCAGAGACCTTAGTAGGATGGAGCTGTGGCCCTCCGAAACCAAGACGAGACCAATGTTCTGTCATTTGGTCGGTCGTTCCGTCATGGTTCGGAGCCAACCCACTACGGTGGTTCTACTCTCTACGGATGGAGAAATCCCCAAGCTGGGGCGGAGCAAGCTCACGGAGAAAAACCGCCGAGCAACTGGTGCCTGGCAATAACCCCCAGGTGAGTGGCTATATCCCAAAAAAACCTCCAGGAGACGAACCGCCGCAACCCCATCGGTGCTCGTTTTAAGCCCCAAACCTCCGCGAGCCCTACCCGTCGAGCCGTCGAGCCTCGTCAGACCACCTGTGCCTCAACGCGGTGCGGTTGCTGGATCCCTTCCGCCGAACCGAGCTGCAGCGACAGCCGGAGCCCCAAAAAAATTGCAGCTGGGACGTTGGGTCGATCAGCCGGTTACCCAGGGCTCAAAACTCTTCTTGGCTAGCCCAAGATAGACTAAGGGTTTGGATATTCCATGTTCCATGCTCTTCATCGTTCTCATTAAACAAAAACACCCGTTTTCCAGGGTTTTGGTTTTGGCCCATTGAAGAGAATGATGCCTGAAGAGAATGGGGAGGGTACAGCTAGATTTGTGGGGCGCGAAGTTAGATTCTCTGTTGCCCGGTGGTGCCCTTTCTCTCGCTTTTTGTTGTTGTTTGTCTTTTTGGTAAGGGTTGCCCTTTAAACTCAACCAACAAAAAAAAGGTGCCCTTTTTTTCTTCAGATGCCACTGGGCATCTGAGGATTTCTCAAGGACAGATCATGGGGGTTTCCCTTAAGGGTGGCTGGAAAGGCATCATTGGCCTTTTGAAGCGAGCTGAGGGAAATACGGACCCTGGGGAGTGGTGGCAAGAGAGGCCTCAGCTGTCACTCGACGTTCCTTGTGTTTGATGCGTGCCTTGTTTTTTTTTCTGCATCTCACTTCCTGAGTTCATGAACTTAAAACTTTTGGGGTTTGGACCATTTTAGTGGCAAATATACAGTTTGGGGCCTTTTCTTGGGCCATCCACTCAGCAAGTGAGGCATTCTTTTCCACCAGCTCAAGCAATTGACCACTTGTTGGTCGAAGTCTGACCCAAAAAACTGGGCACATCTGGGGGTTCCCCGGCCCCCTGAAAGTGGTGTCTCAAGCGGTAAGGAAAGCGTTTTTCGCTTGGACGGCGTTCAAACGGAAAGCCGAAGTTGAAAGCTACACATGTGGCGGCGTGCCTAATTTTTAAGACGCACACAAGATATGTTGTCAGACAAAAGATAAGACGAAAGGGAAGTGTGGAGGAAGACTATGCACTTTGAACACCAACTAGGTGGCATTACTTCTTGAAATGGCATGTTCCGCCCAGTTCTGGACATGTACCCTCGTGCTTTTATGTATGTGAGCTGTTGGTTTTTCATTAACTTATGGTGTTTCCTAAAGCAGGGGGCTCAAATCCCTCAGTGCTTAGATTTTCTTCTGTGGTCCATGCAACACCATCCTGAAAGGATCTATTCGGGAATGGCCTGTACCAGCCCGTATTTTGCTTGGGTCTTTGCCATTGTTGGGACTGTTTTGACTGATCTCACGTGTTGTAAATTCTGCTGATCGGACCCATCACCTAGCTCAGTTGTTCAGTGGCACCCTTTTCCCTTTTTTTGTGGCTGCCCCGCCAAATTTGGTCTTCCCCAAAAGGGTTCCATTTTTTTTCCAGGGTCACTGAACAACTGAGCCAGCGGCGTCAAGTCCGTTGGGAATACTTTTGGCCGGGGCGCGCGCGCATGAAGCTGAGTCAAGGTGTTGGTCAGCCAGACACGCTCAGCTTGTGCCGCACAGAGCTGCACGAGTGGATGAGCTCCCCACACGCGGGGAGCCCGCTTGATGTGCACGGTTCTTCGGATGAATCTGAAGTTGGCAAACTCACAAACCACAAGCTAGGTCCCCCAGTAGTGCCCTTTTACCAACTTTTTTGGGGGAGGGTTCCCCTACTAAAATGGACTACAGAAAAAAAGGGTACCCTTATTCTAACCTCTCTACTGGAGGACCTAGACAAGGAGGGCCATAAAAAAAGCAAACTGATGAACGAAGATCCCGGAGTTGGTAAGTATGTTTCCCAACAGCTGAAAAACCCCTGGCGTCGCGCACCGGGACCCAGGCCGCAGAGCGTCGTGGTGGAGAGCACAGAGGAGGAAGAGTGGAGGGCCTGCTTTGAGGAGGTGAATTGGCGATTTGTTGCGTTGGGTTCGCGGGGGGCTGAAAACAAACAAACAAGAGAACACACAAGCCATGTGAAACATGGAGTACAATATGTATATATGTTCATATACACATAGACTTTAAAACATGTAGCATATATGGAAATCGGAGGAATGGAGCCAGTGGAACGTAGACCATTATAGACAATAATTTATAGACATGTAGAAGACATGGGACAAAAAAGCAAAACTGGCATAGAACACATATGGGCACACAAAGAGCATATCAGCATCCACAATCATGGAACCTATACTATATACACACGGTAGTTGGGGATGTGTGCTGTTAAACTCCCTCGTTTTTGGGGATAGGTCCCTGGATTGGGGGTGCTACTGATGCAATCAAGCTCTGTCCTGATGATGCTCTTTTTCTTTTGGTTGCTTTCTTTCTTTTGGAAAGGCCCCTGCAGGCCTTGAGGGGACCTTTAATTGCTTTGCCTCCGCTTGTTCATTGTTTCTTCCCTACCTGAGAACTTGCGTAGATTTTCCTTGCAGCATTTCATTTCCTTTTTTTTGTTTGAAAGGTCTCCACAAGCGATAGATGCGGGTCTACGATTGATGCGAGCAAGCTCCGATGGATGGGGGTCTACGATGCAAGCAAGCTCTTTCATGCTGATGCATCTTGTGCGTTTCGCTTGCGCTCTTTGACTGGCGACTGATGCAATCCAGCTCTGTCTCGCTGATGCTTGATGCTGAGGATGCAACCACTCAGTTGTTCAGTGGCCCCCCTTTTTCCCCCTTTTTTTGGTGGCTGCCCCACTAAAATGGTCCAAGCCCCAAAAAAGGGTCCCTTTTTTTTCCAGGGTCACTGAACAACTGAGAACACCATGGCCCTGTTTGCCCCTGTCTTCCAGGCATGTAGAAAGGCGCCCCGCAGGACTTGAGCAGGGACCTGTCTGGCTTTTCTTCATTGCATGATATCAGCATCGCAACGATTCGCAAGGACTCCGCGGGGATGCAACATTAGCAACTCGAACAAACCTATTTTGGCAATCCTTTCTTGGTTGTGACGGTACCTCGCGGGGCCTTTTCGGAGGCATTTGTGAAAGAACGCTGTGTGACGAGGTGATACAGGCATGGTAGATGGGATTGGCAAGGACGCCAAAAGGATAGGCTACAATGTCGTGCAGACAGTGGCGCGCAAATGCTGGGCGTATTCGGGGATTCGCGTGCCTGAGGAATATCTGAATGCAGTGTCCAAGCAAAACGATGTATCATTCGGGGGTTTTGGTTGACAGGATTCAAGGGGTTTGTTTGTCAAAGATGCAGCACGTTCCACAGGCATTCAAAAAGGCTCTCACAAGCTAGGTCCCCCAGTGCTACCCTTTTACCCTTTTTTGGTTGGGAGGGTTCCCCTACGACAATAGACTACAGAGAAAAGTTGGTACCCTTATTCTAACCGCTCAAATCTGGAGGACCTAGCACAAGGCAACGGTCAACACCTGGGTAGTTGAATGTTAGTGGGTTGCCGCTGCCAGAAACAGGTGCCGAGTCCCAGCTCTCCCCAGGTCGCGGTTTTGGAGCCTCCGGTTTCTAGGGGTGGAAAAATGTGCCCGGCTTCGACTGGGCGTGGGCGGGACATGGGGCCTGGCCTTTTTCAGAGCTGGGACATGGGGCTGGGGGCAGGGCGAGCCATTTTGGGGTGGATGTTTTTGTCCATTTGCCACCTGTGTTCACCAGGCAGGGTTTGACAAGCACAGCCACATGGGTCTGGCCCCGGGCGGTTGGCAAGGGGGGAGCCCAAAGTCTGAAGGGGTCTTCCCGCGAAAACGAGGGATAGGGTTGTGAAGCATCACCTCACACGACCGAATTCACTCCATGCTGGGTTAAAGTGGGGAATAGCCCCCCAACCACCGCAAGTCTCTCAGGCTGAAATATGATAATTCGCTTGGGGAATAGCCCCAACCACCGCAAGTCTCTCAGGCTGAACTGTTATCATTCACCCAGATAGGGTCGCAATTTTTTGGGGGGGTCCCCTCCCCTAGTAGCAACGAGTGATGCCCCCTAGCGCGGGCAATCGCCCGCGATCTGAGCCTCGGAGGTGGACCGGCGCCTGGTCACCGTCTTCCACTCTGTGGGGGAACCTCAGCTTGGCAGGGGAACGTTTTCTGGGTCGTTTATTTCTCAGTTGTCCTGTGGCGCCAATTCTTTCAACTTTTCTTGGTGGCTGCTCCACTAAAAATGGTCCAAGCCCCAAAAAAGGGTTCCCTTTCTTTCCAGGGTCACTGAACAACTGAGATTGGGGTCTGGGTCAAAATGAACCACCAGGAATTGGACCGCAGGTTTTAGTCCACGTTTCCATTTACCAGGGTTTGATTTTGGGTACCTATTTTTCACCCACACCCATTTAGGCTGTGAGGTGTGGTTTTGTGGTTGGGTTTCCATTTATACCACCAAGAGTTGAACTTTCAGCAGGGGATCTGAGGGCAGCCCACCCGAACAAATTGCATCTTCTTTGTTTTGGCTCCCCCTCAACAACGAGCCGAAAGGCGCAACAGCTCATGCGGCGGCCCGCCTAGAAGGCCAAAGCGATAGCCGCTGCGCCGTAGTCTGGATCGCAGGGAGGTTGCTTCGATCCAAAGCCATGAGAGCACTTGGCTAGGTCCCCCCGCTAGGTGCCCTTTTACCAACTTTTTTGGGGAGGGTTGCCCTATTAAAATAGACTACAGACAAAAAGGGCACCTTTATTCTAACCGCTCAAATCTGGATGACCTAGTTGGGGTGTTTCGGACAGGATCCGGGCTGTGCGACTAGGCCTATGTCGGCTGACATTGGGGCGATGCTCCATCAGGGCATTCAGCAGCCGCACCAAGCACAGCAGCCTGTCGCTGCGAACTGACTAAAGGTTACTTCAGGTTGGTGATTCGTCGTGTTCATGCAAAACGGTTGCCAGCAAGTCATTCTGCACAAGCGAAAACCGGCCTTGCAGCGTGGGGCGCCAAGGATTCAATCAGTCCTCATTCTCCCAAGACTCGGTGGGGCGTTCTATTCTTAGGGAAGCTTTTGCTTCACGGACATCCCAGGCGTTCGGGACACCCGAGCAGTTTGCAGAAGGAACGCCCCTGTCAGTTTGCGAATCCAACGGATACACCTTGAAATTTCAGGGCGCCGAAGATTTTTGAGTACCCAGTCCAAGGGATTTTGTATTACACTCTGGGAATACACCCACTGGGTCTTGACCCCATTTAGGCACATTTCCGGGATAAAACCGTGGTATTTTGAACCATTCTGGGTCATTTCCCAAGGGTGTACTCCCAGGGTGTAATACAGAAACCCTCAAACCTAGGCCATCCTTCGCCCAAATTCACCCGGCAGTTCCCACCGTTCCCGGCTTTTAGGTTTTAGTTGGCGTAGTGGTTGGGTTTCCATTGAACCCACTACAAGTTAAACTTTTAGCAGGGGATCTGAGGACAACCCAGAAAAGACGCTTGAAAGTAGATTTCCCATCACGCTCAGTTCGGTGGCAGCTTGTTTTTGATTCTTTGGGGCTGCACAAAAGAACCCCATTGCGACCTAGGGGCATTGTTCACCAAGGTCACTTCAATGGAAGCAGAAAAGGCATGGTATCAACAGCCCCGGACCCCCTGGAACCGAATCATCTCTTGGAACCCTCCCGGAAGGCATTTTAGAGCCTATCTGAGACCACATGGCCGGTGGGTACCAATGGTACCATTCTGGGGTAGGTGAATTCACCAGCCATTTTAGAACCTATTTTAGTGGTTGGATTGGGATGTTCACTAGGGGTACGGGGCTTTGACCCATAACCACATGACCCCATAGCTTTCAGCTGTAAGAAACTCTGCAAATCACGAGGCGCCCTGGACCTTTTGGCCCCTGCGCTTCGAACGCCGACACCTCAGTTGCTGGTCGGCAAAGACTTTCTGGACCTGCCAAGTAACACGGAACCCAAGATCAGCTCCCCTCCTTCTGGAAGAGGACATTCCTTTTTGGCAAGCCACCTAGATAGCCAAGTTGCTGCTTTCTTCAGCACTGTTGCTGGTTTTTGGGGTAAAGTGCATGGAACAAAAAAGCAACTGGCAATCCAGGCAGTGTTTGCGCGTTCTCTCTGTTCAGGTGCTAGGGTAAGCAATGACTTTGGGCAACACACAGATCTGCGTGTCTTGCACTTCCCCTGCCCCTGAATTCCCTTGCGTTCTCCCAAAGCAAATCGCCTGTGGCACAAGGAAGTTTGTCATTTTTCAGCTGTTTCTTATCAGCAAGTTGTGAAACACATGGAACATACAGCATATATGAAGCATATCAACTGCCAGGTTTGGCGAAACTTGCAAATTGCCTGGCGCAGCCTGTGCGCTGACATGTAGGACCTTATTCCAATATATATATATATATATACTGACTGTATGTTGGCCAACACATTGGACCTATACCCGCATCTCAGACGTAGCACCCCAGCGTAGACGAAGTTGATACTTGGAACTTCAACAAGACAATGTTTGCTTGTGATTTCTGGAAGCTCTATGTATGGTTTGTCCTTATTTGCATTGCGGTTGCAGGGGGTGGTCATAAGGTGGTCATAAGGTGGTCATAAGGCCCTCCCCCGCACAGGCAGGCCGCATAAGATTGTGGTTATGCAAGTGCAGAAGCGTGGGTGATCGCGTACGCTATGCTCTCGTAAGCACCGCCTAAGAGTTCCTTGCCACCTAATTATCATGCTTGTGGTTCTAGCAAGAAGAGCAAGCACAAGTTCTTTCGACAGCTTGACTGGCAACCAAAGCAGAAGACAATTTTGTGCGTGCTTTGTTTAGGGGAACCCGCACAATGCGTGGCTGTCCTCTTGACTTCAAATGAAAACCGGCAAATAAAAAGCGTAGACTCAAACAAATCGAACCCCGCCCCCCAATTCTTTGGTGCATTTTGCCAAGGGATGTTAGGACTTTAGCTTTTTGCCAACTACTGGGTGTTCCGAATTAAACCACTAAAGTTACGAGTTCAGGATTTTCCATTCAACCATTTCTTCCATGAACCACTCGGTGTTCCATTCTTTTAGGGGAGCGAAGAAAAACCTGCGAGTTGGGTCCGTTTCTTTTCCGCAGGCGCCGACTGCACTTCTGTGAGCTTGGCTCCAATAGGCCCAGCAGCCCACAATTTTTGACAGCTGGATGTATTGCCCGGGAGCGGTGCAACATATTCCGGTTCCTTAAAGGGAATTGGGGGAGGGGTTGGGTTTAGGGTTTGGGGGAAAAGGGCTTGGTTTAGGGTTGGCTTCGGGTTTATTCAGGGGTGGTGTCCGGCTGGTTTAGGGTTGGTTTTGGTTTAGGGGGGGTGACCCCTGGAGATCTCCGGAAGACTCGATAAATGGAATGGGGAGATTCCTACCCCCTCCGCCCTAAGGTAGGGGGGATGATGCAACCATCGGTGCGTTTCGTTGAATGGTGTTAGGGGACCGCTACCTTTGTCCAACATGGAAGTGAACCAATGGAAGTGAACCAAGAGGAGGGTAGTCTTACCAGCTCTATTTGAATGGTAGTTTCAACAGAAGAGCAACATGATACCATGTATCTTGGCGGTTCCTTGCCTGGAGACAAAGCCGTAGCAAGGATCTTTCGTTCTGGCAGCAGTGTTTGTATGTGTGTGGCTGACATGTGTTTGTTGCCAGATGCTTAACCCTCATTGCGCAGCTTTTGGGGAAACAATAACTTCTACCCAGGACGTCAGATTTTGATCAGGATGTTTGGAGCCTCAATATCTTGACCTGGTGCTCGGGATTGAGTTGACACCTGGAGCGTTTTGCGTTGCGACATCCTTCCAACTTTTTTTTTTTCCTTCGGTGCCAAGTTTGTGGGAGGGAGGATGCTCATCTCACTCTTTGTTCCTTGTCTCACTCCCTGAGTTTATGGACTTTTGTCACTTGTTGGGTTTGGAGCATTTGGCAACCAACAAGTTTGGTTTGGCTTTCTTTGGCCAGTCCACTCGATCGGACGTGAGTGTCCAATATGGAAGTGGACCAAGAGCATGGAAGTCTCGCCCCTTCTCTTTTGATGTTTCAACAGAAGAGCCAAATGGCTACGTATGAATTTTCATGGGGACACACGTGAAACGTGGCTGGTGGACATACATCCCCACCGAATTTTGATGTCCACCGAAGGGTCCCTCGTTAGGATGGACGAAATCCGGCACCGTTCAGAAACCTTGGAATGATTCGATCCCCCAAGGTAAGTACCCACAAGCCTTGTGGTTTCAATTATGGCAACTCATTAGGTGGTGCGAATCGGATTTCGCAACCATCCACAGATGCTTTGCTCCATGCGTCTCAGCTTTCCTCTTGGCCAGGCCCAGGTGCTCAAGAGTGCGCCGGAAGCCCCAAGCTGCGCTCCGGGGGTACTGGGGTACTTGGCAGCCCGAAGCAGCCGGTGATTCATAGGATTCAGTTTTGTGCTGTTTATGTTTTGTTGGTTTTTAGCTTTCAGAAACATGCTTTTAGGTTTTTAGTTGGTTTAGCGGTTGGGTTTCCCCTCGAGAGCCAAAATGAATAGTTTTTGGCAGGGGATCAGGTTGGACAGCAGGCTAGAATCTTGTTGGGAAGATTGGATTTCTGGTTGGCTATCCTCCCTCAAAGTGTAATCCGCAACAAGGCGGGCAATTCCCAGGGGCCAATGCATCCCAGATAGAAGATGCCGGGATCCCAATGGCTATTCTATGCCATGCATATGCCCGGATCCCCAATAGATCCTCCTCGTTTTTCTGTTTTTAGCAACTCCCGGCCACCCAGATGCTCAGGGGGTGAGGCCGATGGCTTAATCCTCATGGATATGGAGCCCGGCCGCCTCTGCCGTGCAGCAGGTCTTTACGAAGCTTGAAAGGGACATTGCTGGATTGTAGAAACGGTTCCCCTCCCTTCTGTCTTTTCTTGAGGCCCCTTGGGGTTCTTTGGAGGGAAACCACTGCGGGTTCCAACTCCCAAAATGGTTCATGGTTGCATAAACTTACTTGCCACGTTTCGGGCCAAACTCCTATTTTTCAGAGGAGTGCCAGTTTTGTGGTAAAGACATGTAAGACAAATCCGGACTGTTGCCACTCCACGGAAGCGAGCAATGCAAGGGGATGAATAAGTACTAACATGTTTTTTTTTTTTTTTCATGGTGAGTCATGTCTTCATTTTTGGTTTTTTGTGGTATCCCAAACCCACGTTCATCCAACCCCTTCCACAAAATACCCCCTTTTTTTCCCTTCAGGGCTCCCCAGTTCCCGTGTTTTTTTCTTCTCCCCCCGGACTCGCTGTCTCGGACCGGACTGCCAGGTGGGCGCCTGGGTGTCGGCCGTGGAAGCCGCCACGGGGCTTCGGAACAGCGCCACCCACCGGGAGATGCTGACCTTGGACTTCGCCTACCAGGCGAGCGACTCGCCCGCGGGCGACTCGCCGGGCGAGCTTCGACTCGCGAAACGAGAGAGAACCAGCCAACGAAACAAGCCGCCCAACCAGAGTTAAGCCACCCAGCCGAGCGGCTCGCCTCGGGCGAGCGAGGTGTCCCCTTTCGCCGCGAAGCGGCGCGCGAGCAAGCGAGCGAGTTGCCGTAAGATTTTGGGACGTAGCGGTTAAGGAAAACTGATTGTGAAGGATGCGGCGGGTTTTGGGGGGAAGGGGAGCAGGTGGTTTTTTTCTTCTGGCGTCGGGTGGGCTGAACAATGGTTGGGTGCCTGGTTGGTTGGTTGGCTGGCTGGCTGGCTTGGTTTGGTTGGTTGGCTGGTTGGCCGCATCCTCAGCATCACCGCCCTCTCTTACCCCGATATTCAGGCTGCTGCAGACTGGCCGCACACCTAGCGCAATCGGCTCCAAGCTGCTCAAAGTAACCCTAAACCTCCCAACAGCATCCTGGATATCACCCGAAACCAACTCCGAGCAATTCTCAGAGTAGTTTGGGTTCCATCGCCGGTGCAGGATGTTCGTTCAAAGTGCTCCATGGAAGATTTGTGGACCTTCAGGAGGGGGTCTTCGAAGAACTAACATGGAAAACTCATTCAATCGGACCCCGCAATCTTTCAATGCCCCATTGTTTTGTTTGTGATACATCATCCCTGAGTAAGAAAGCAGGTAAACATTGAGAACTTTTGAACATACAGAGCAAAGGGGGATTTAAGTCTTGTAGAGACCGGGCAACCCCGTTTAAACAAACAAATTCTGACCCCCTTCCTACCGGCAAACCTCCTTTTGGTCAACGGGCGAGTAGAAGACTGGGGCAGCACACGAATCCCGGTCCGTTGAGTCGCATAACTTCACCTTGGCCTCTGAGTTCTTTACTTTCAGAAAGGATGGGAGAGTCTCGCCGGCTTCGGTCGTGATTTCTCCTCGAGCCAGAGATCTTGAAAGGTCCCAGAGGATTGATTCGTGCCGTCGGCTGGGATTGGCCAGAAAAAGAAAGCATCGGGTATGAAGGACTCCCAAGTGTTTGCGTAGCAGCAAAAGGAAGTGTTTCGAAGAGCGAAGCTAAGCACAGCCTGTCGACTCCAGCAATCTGCTGCGCAGTTGTCGGAACCCCCTGGGGTTCTGAAAGCGAAACCCAGCCAGGTCTTTCCTGTGGAAGGCGAGAACGCGGTGCAGGCAGGGCTTTCAGAGGCCAAGTTCCCAAGGGCTCAAGTCAGTCGGCTAAAAGTGGCATGGGGCTTTGCGTGGATTTTTTTTAGTGCACGGTTCCATTTGTCTTTCTCTTGGGAAAACGCATGAAACCCCAATCAGTCGGGGGTCTTGCAAATTGTGATCCCTTCCCACGTGTACTCTGAGTTCGGGGACTTTCGCAACGGGTTGGCTTGCTCTCGCCGCGCGGGCCCATGGAGTTTGCTATTGCGGCTTCTTCGACCGCCGGTTCTTTCTGTCCATGACCAGAAGCCACAGGCCCAAAATGACCATGTCCTTCTGTATCCATGGCCAAGGAACGCAGGCAATACCGGGTTTGGTTGTGACTTACATGATCTCACGATAAACAGAAGAGACAGTTGAGCATGCCCCGGATTGCTGGGGGGGAAAAGAAGGAGTTCCATTCTTTCCAAGGATCCTTCTTGCTAAGCCACGAAAACCCCCGGGAACAAAAAGAAAACGGCTGCTTTTTGAGAAGAACGATGGCACGTTGGCATAAGGCGAGAGGCACAGATGAGTCAAGCGGGTGGATGATTCCCTCAAAAGTGAAGGATCTCCAAGGGCTTGATGATTCCGAGGCTACCATCATGCTTTCGTCTTGCTCAGAGGGGAAGTGGTGATGATGAGGTTTGTTTTAGTGGCGCCCTAAGCAAAAGAGTAAGCGTGTATCCAACAGGGGGGCTCAAAAAGATGGTGATTCTCCTCTACGTAAGCAACAGCAGGTATACCCTTCAAAACTATACCCATATGCTAGGTAGGTTCCAACTATGTCTTTGTATACATATATATATATATAATACCTCGACAAATACTACCGATGATTGAAGAGAGGGTCCTAAGTTACTACAAGTTGGGCACCGAACTCCCGGCATCGGCCGATGCGCGGCTCGGAAGGCCAGGAGAGACCTGGCGAGGGAGATCACGGCCCTGCTTCAGAAGGAGCTGGGACTTTTTGGGGGGGGGAAGTTTTGGCAGACGAAGCGGGAGCAGAAGTCAAGGGGGTCGGAAAAACATCAAACAAGTCAAGGGGGTAGGGAAAAAACACATTCCTACGTGAGGCAACATGGTTGAGGCAATCCACAGCATTCTAGGAGTGATCTAGGGACCTTTTTGGGGAGGGCTCAAAAAATATCCACAACTGCCAGCCCAAAACGCACATGAGCCGACAGTGCTTTCCAGCGCCGCATGGTACACTCTCTACAAGCGGAAAATGAGGTGGATTCTTCCTGCCTTCCTGCCTATTTCATGCCGAGCTCACGTCTTACATCGGCACCTGAGTTTGGACAAGCAGGGTTTCTGTTGCTTAAGAATGGTGTGTGTCGGTTTAACGGGAATCTATCACTACTGGACATACTGTGGATGGACGAAATCCTGGAAAGATGATTCTGTAAATACCAACAAAGAATGGTTTCCCATGGTTACCAAGTGGTGCGAAATGGATTTTGTCCATCCACAGTTCTATTTTTCCCCGGACACTTCAGCAAATTTTCAGCGCGGTGGCTCAGGGAGCTGTGGCCATGGCAGGAGTTTCACGCGGGTTCCACTCAAAAGTGGTTGACACATTTGGGTGTGGCTCAAAATTAAAAAGGAGGTGTTACGCAGGTTTTGGTCCATGTTTCCACTTGCCAGGGATCCATTTTGGTACCGGTTTTTGAGCCACAGCCATTTACGGGCAGTCGACATCAGTCGACTTTTGGTGGTTGAGGGTTCTGCCCGTTTTTCTGTTTTCTGGTTGACACGTGCTTCCGATTCAAGCAAACAGCCAATATTGAGCATGATTCTGCCTATTTTAACGAGCTCACCGATGAGCTGGGGTAGAACGAGCTCACCATAGAGGCCCTTTACTTGGAGATCCCTAACTTCAGCTTTTGGAATTAGAAAGTAAAATTTGCAGATGATTTAACAGCCAAATAGGATTCCCCGTTTTCGGACCAGGTTTCAATTGGAAGTCCCCACTTGGCAGAGACTCAGTCTCGCGGTGCTGACTCTGGAACGGTTTCCCTGATAGAAATTAGCCGCCCGGCCAAAAAGCGGTGGAGAGCGCCCTTTGGAACTTCCGTTGATGTCAAGGGAACAAGGTCTGCTAGACCTCCCTGGAATGGGAAGGTTCTCATATCAGAGAACAACACAAGCCGTAGGTTTTTGCTGGAGTTGCAGGGCGGTTTCGGGGGTTCAGCTTGTGATACCGGGGTTTGCCGCGTGAATTGGGTGTTGGAAGGCCCATTTCCATGAATGGCAGAGTCTTGAGCCGGGCTCAGTGCTGTTTACCGTTGCCATACCTTTGTGTAGGAAACCACACTGGACCAGGGTGCCAAGTGCCAAGCATGCCTTTTCCAGAACAAATCCAGGTACCCGATTTTTCCTCAAGCTTGGAACTGACCATGTAGGTGTGTTTTATTGCTGGGTACCATTGCTTCCTTTGACTCCCCTGAAGTCCTTCAAGGTTTCAAACGAGACACACCCACTTGAAGGCTGTTTTTCCGGCTTCATCTTGCTGTTTCCCTCAACCGTGAGCTCTGGTTTCCCTCAAACATGAGCTCCCTTGGTTGTTTTTGGGGGTTTCCCTTACGTTCGCTTGGGTTTCTCTTAAGTTTCCCTTGGGTTCCCTTGGGTTTCCCTTGGTTTCCTTGGGTTCCCTTGGGTTTCCCTTGGTTTCCCTGGGTTTCTCTAGGTTTGCCGTGGGTTTCCCGGTGGGTTTTTTCCTTCTGGGCGTCCCGTGCCAGGAGTGGGGCACCATGGACTTCCGAGATCCGAAGCTGGCGGTCTGGCAGACCAAGGCCCATTGGCGGCCTTTCCAGGCGCCGCGGCCGCCGCGTTTTTCGCGTTTTTCCGCGTTTTTGGTTTCTCTGAACGAGTGGTAACAACAAAAAGTCGACAGGTGTGGCGTTTTTTTGTTCCAGGTGTGTTTTGTGTTTTTATTTAATGTTCCAGGTGTGGCGGTCTTTTTCGGTGCCTTTTTCTTCAGACCGCTAAAGTTGTCCAGACGGTTTTTCCAGCGCTGGGTCCCCCAGGATCGTGCCCTTCTCTCCCCTTTTTTGGTTGGGAGCAACCCCCTCTACTAAAATAGACTACAGAAGAAATAACCTGAACGACTCTGGTTCGGGGTCACTTGGAGTGGCGCGCCTCCAGGTGTTTGTGTGTGTGTTTTCTGTTTTAAACACACGAAAGCAAAACAAAAAACAAACGCCAAAAATAAAGAAATAATTGGACCAACCAACAAAAAAAACAGATTGGACCAACAAAAGCACAAAAAGGAGAGAAGCAAGTTGGATGACAAGAGTTGGGTGGCTTCTTTCCTTTGGTGTCCCTTTTTAAAGCCACAAATAAGGGTAATTACCCTGAGTACCTTCACAGTTCCATGGGCATAGGTGTCCGTTGTGCTTGTTTATTGTTTACCAGGGAAACCCTTCCAGTTCTAGCAAAAGGACACCAATATGTGCATGTGCATGGGTGGCTCTTTTTTTTTTACAATTTGGACCGTCAATTGAACCCCCCCAAAAAAATGGCGCAACGGTTCTCTTTTCGGCGCCCGCTGATCAAAGTCAATCAACCCCACTGGTTTTCACCAGTGAGCGACCACCTCAAAATTTTGGTCCGGGAGGGTTTTGAAATTGGCCTTTGAGTGGGGATGCAGCCGCAATACAAGATAGGATCTGTTCACAGGTCGAACAGGCACTTGGGAAACAACTCCACCCTCCCCCCATCCTCCCCCCTGCAACGCTTGTGCTTGCGTCAGGCCTCCTATATACCGACGGCCCCTACGCCCTGAGCCCTGAGGCCGGTCTTTGTTTTGTTGCTTGGGGGCAGGGGATACTTCGGGTTGTACAGGAATACGGGGCCCTAGTTGAGACATGTGGTTTCCTTTCCCGCTTAAGCAACATCCATAAGAGGCCCTTACACACTCCGGGTTCCCACATCAAGGAGCACGGCATGAAGTCACATGCAAACTCGACGAGCCTGCAACAGCCCCAGGATCACGGATCCTTTCAAGTTTCTGAACTAGGTCTTGGCATGGCTGGCTATGGCTGGGCTGTTCAACCCGCAAGATGCACGGGTTATGCAAAGGCTTCGACCATTGCTTTTTGAGGATCCAGTCAGAATGTGAGACTGCGAGATGAATTCGGGATCCGAGAGCTTGCCACAGGCTATCGTGGGTGTTGAGTATCGGCTTCGACTGTTTGGAGTATCCAGTTGCAGTCAGGATCATAGGATTGGCCGGTCTAACCCTAAGGTAGAGCGTGCTCCTGAGGAGTTTGGGTCGAGCAGACTGCCGTTCCTTGGTGAGTTCTCAGTCCCTCACTGCTTTGCTTTTGACCGAATTGGGGCAACCCTGTTGATCTTAAGGGAACAACGAAGAAAGCAAAGGGGAAACCATTGTGGGCACCGATGTGTGCTTTCTTTGATTGGCATCTTTTGTCATGGGGAAAACACACATGATTCGCCTCGTGTTTGAAGCGCGGTGGTTTCTCACACGGCACCCTCATGCCCGCCCCAAAAGCGGCCCCGGCCGATTTTTTGAGGTGTCGATATTATTCACAATGATAGAACCCATGTTCGGCTTGAGCTGAATTGGCTCCGTCCAGAACGCAGACGCACTATGGACATGTAAACATCGTACTTTTTGCACCAGAAAGGACGCCACAGTTTTTGTGTATCATGTAGGTGGAGAAACATGTCAAGACCCCAGTTGCGCAACGGCCGGGGGTAGCGTACGCCAGGCAGGTCTTGATTCGGCAGCTTTTCGTTTCACCCCCCGGCGGCCTGAAGAACAGGCGCGGAACCGGGTCTGTTGAAGAGAACTTGTTGCGGGTGGCGTCCCTTCGCTTACTTCCTGAGTTTAAGGCGGGCCGGTGTGGGTGGGGTGCCAGCGGGCTGTTGCTTTCTCCCGTTCCTGGCGTTAGACTGTTTGTGTTGGGGTGCTCTGTTCAGAGTCAGTTTGTCTAACATGACTTCCATCACTTTTGAGACTACGCTGTGCGCGGCGCCCCTTGAAACCCACTTTTGAGCGTTCCAACTAGGATTGCCATTTTGACGGCGAGGGAAACCTGCAACATGATGTGTGTGTGTGTGTGTGTGTGTGTGTGTGTGTGTGTGTGTGTGTGTGTGTGTGTGTGTGTGTGTGTGTGTGTGTGTGTGTGTGTGCGTGGGTGCGTGCGTGCGTGCGTGCGTGCGTGCGTGCGTGCGTGCGTGCGTGCGTGCGTGGGTGGGTGGGTGGGTGGGTGTGTGTGTGTGTGTGTGTGTTTGCTTCTCAATGGGATCATGATGGAAACCAACGGCATCGCCCGCTTCCCGGTTGGTTACAGAAGAAGTCCAGGTTACGCCCAAGCAATGGAATGGCCAGAGGGCGGGTTCACCAAAAACGCTTGCTTGCACGTGTTCCATGATGTGTTTTGACAATTTGTTTGTGTGTCGTGCTCTTTTGTGTGGTTGCTTGGTTCGTTAGTGTGCATGTTTGTGTGTTTGTTTGCTTGCTTGCTTGCTTGCTTGTTTGTTCGTTTGTTTGTTTGTTTGTTTGTTTGCTTGTCTTGTTTGTTGGATAAGTTGTTTGCTTTGAGTGTTTGGTTTGTTTGTTTGCTGGCTTCCCTGGTATATTCTGTATTATATATATATGCTTGCTTGCGTACGTGCGTACGTGCGTGCGTGCTTGGTGTGCCTGCGTGCTTGCATCACGTTGCCTGCTTGCTTGACGTGATTGATTGCTGGCTGGCTTGCTTTGCTTGCCTGGCTTGCCCGGGTCATTCCCTCATTCCCTGCTGTACAACAGCAAGTTAACTTTGGTGCATGTTGCTCGGACGTTAGGCTTAACTTTTCGCCACCTCATGGGGTTGTCCATTAAACCTCTAATAGTTAAGAGTCAAGAGTTTTCCATTAAGCACTTTTTCCATTCAACCATTTTTCCATTAAACAGTTTTTCCATTAACCACTCATGGGGTTTCCATTCTTTTAGCAGAGCAGAAAGCGGTACCGAGTTCAGACCCTTCCACCTGCCCCCCGCTAGGCTGGCGTGGCCTCCGAAGCGGCGAAAGAGAATTTGCTGGGGTTGGCCAGGTCGCCCTTTCTCACCCCTTTTCTGGGGAGGGGAGGGTTCGGGACCCTACTAAAATAGACTGCAGAAAAAAAGGTACCCTTATTTTTTATCCTCTCAACTGGAGGACCTAGGTTGGTTGGGGTTGGTTTGGATAGCGCTCAGCCCTCCAGGCCGATTCAAGGTTCGACATACGGTCCGAAGGTTTTAATTGATTTCTTCCTGGAGCCTGAAAGGCCCTTCTTTTCTGGCCCGCTTTTTCTTGGCCGTTGTGAAAAAGTACGGCCGGATGCAGACAGAACAGTTTTGTTGGCCACTTGCCTTCATCGCAGACTTCGGTCAATGCTTAAACAAATGCTTCACGCATGCCACGCAAGGGGACGGAGAGCCCGGCGCAAGTATGGCAACCATCTTCTGCACTCGGGCTCCCAACATGCCCTTTCGAGCCTCCAGGGGGATAGTTTGGGGTATCCTAAGAGAATTACGGGTTCCTAGGGGTTTTGTGCAAGACCATCGTTCTTTTCAAAAACCAGCCATTTCTCCAGGGTTTTTGGTTTTCTGGAAAGAAGGATGCCTGGAAAGAATGGGGAAGTTACCCCTAGGAAAAGCATGGCCATCCCGCCTAACATTGTGGCAGTACGGTGATGATGTTTGACAAGGCACCCCTTTTTTGCTGTCGAGAGTCTCAGAAATTTCTAAGTTCCACGGTGGAGGAAAGAAATCTGAGGTTTTTCCGAGAGACTGGAATGACAGTTTTCGGGGGTTCTTGGCTGGAGTAGCCAAAGAGGGCTGGCTGGTTCCCTCCTTGCCGGCCACGAGAGTTGGTAGCTAACTTGCAAAGCACGCCACACCCAACTCGCACCCCTCAAGATGTCCCACTCGCCAGTCGCATCCCAATCGCAGTCACCTCAGAACAAATCCGCTTTGTTTGGGGGCTTCGAGACTCTGTCGGCCAGGCGAGGTGGAAATATAGTTCTTTCTTTTCAAGGGTTTAAGCAAATTTCGAGGATACTCATTGTTTGACCCGCGGTCAATTTGGATACGCGTTCTGCGTGGGTAGTTTGCGCCAAGCCGCAGCCATTGTTTCATTTGAACAGACATTCTGGAATTGCTAACTTGAGCCATGTCAAGTTGAGAACCTGTCACTTGTCCGTTCTTCTTTCAGGTTTGGTCTTTACGGTCAAGGTTCCAACAGCTTAATCTTTGATTTTGGGCAACTTGGGATCCAACTTGGAACATGGCTCCGCTGACAGACTACTGAATTCCTGCAAGTTGCCCCTGACTCAACAAGGAACATATTCCATATCTGAGTCGCACACTGCGCTCAGTTGCCCAGAGGATTCCAACGTATTTTTGGGATTTTAGAGGGTTGCCCGGAGCCTTAAGACGACCAAACCGCAATGTGTAAGACAAATGATGAGCTTTTTTGATGCGTTTCTTTTCTGGGGGCCATAGCCTTCCAGGACGTTCGAAGCAACCCCATTAAACAGTCCACCTAATTGGTTGCAAGCTGCTCGGTGCCACTCTCGGCTCGCACATGGATTCGCCCATGGAGAACACCGGCTCCTCGGATTGCATGAGACCAGAGTGCAACCGCCCATTGGTTGAGCCCCATTTCACCACGGAAGAACTGCCAATTCGATGTGGGGGTTGATCAAAAGGTCCCCATCATATGGGATGACCATTCGGGACAGCACCAAAAAGGATGACAATCAACCCACTCAATCGAAGAAGTTACCCATGGTCGTTTGGGGGCCAGGAATATTGATCCACCCCCATGAACTGTCAACGGTTTCTGTGTTGGTCTTAAGCCACAGCAACGAAGCAACTTGCCCCCCACGCTCTAGGTCCACCAGTGGTGCCCTTTTACCCTTTCTTGGGGGAGGCTTCCCCTGCTTAAATCCAGCTGCGCTGTGTGTCTTCGAGCTCGAAGAGCGAGGGCAGCCCTACCCGTAGGGTATACCGCTGACGTGTTTTGTTGCACCGCAAGCTCCTCCTCAGCATTGCCTGCATCACCTGCACGCAGGCCGGCCCAAACACTTGGACCCCAAAACATCCCCGGCCTCCCTGGCCTTGCGACGGGCTTCTGACGCCACGTTGCCCGACCTTCAAAAACACTGTAAATACCGTGGCATCCCCGCCAACATCCTCTGCATCCTCGGCATTCCCTGCATCACCAGCGTCTGGGCGTTCCAGCATCCCTTACATCCCCTACATCCCCTGCATCGCTCAAACCCTTCAAAAATGGCCCCCTGAGAGTAGGTTTTGGCGGTAGGCGGACATGGCGGGCAAGCCTGCGATCGAGCGAGCGGTTTTTCTTGCGCAAGTGCGGCCGCCGCCGCTGCGCGGAAAACATCGCGCATACTGTGTGTTTCTGCATTTTTTCCACCGGTTTCTGTGAGGCTGGGACGGGCCGCCGGGATGCATTTTTGGTCATGATTGGCTTTCGGTGTGAGACACGTGCGTGCAAGCAGGCAACCATGCGCTCAAGCTAGGGTGGATAAGCGCATGCTCCGTGTCAGGGGGTTGGGGGCAAGCAACCTTGCAGCGTCTTGCGCGTGTGGGTTCGCAGCGAGCGAGTGCTTGGGTGGTCCGGGGGCCAGGCTCTGAAACAAGGTCCCGCCTCAACAGAGTTCTTCTCAGTGCTCCCCATCTCACCTGTCCGACTCTCTGGAGGACCTAGTCTAGTCTGGGCCGTTCAAAGGTAATCCACAAGATCCCTACCTGGGGTTACGCAAAAATTCCCCTTCATAGAAATTATGGGTTAGGACTCATTTCGAACAGACCAGATAGTTTCCCTGAACCACGCGTGCCAGGATGTTGATTGAAGTGCAGTCACTTGTGGTACATCTCTTAGAGGTGATTTCTGTGGCCACAGCAACGAAGCAACTTGCACCCCCTTTGATGTCATCTAGAGTTTCGGTGGGTATCTGGTTTGGAGTCATTTGCCTAATTAGTCCCCCAGTAGTGCCCTTTGTTTCGTTTTTTTGGGGAGGGTTCCTCTGCTAAAATAGACTACAGAAACAAGTTGGTACCCTTATTCTAACCTCTCTACTCAAGGACCGAGCTATGGTTCTCCTTGGTCTGGGTTCATCTCATTTGTGAATGTTTCTTGTTTTCCCAGGTGCCCTGAAGCAAGCCTGCATTGCCGGCTTCGGAGATGTCGCTCTCTGTCGAGACCGGCTTGCCAAGGTCTGGGTGCCGAAACCTGCATCCAAGCGTCGCCCTACTTGGGTATATACGTTTGTGTTGACTGGTTTGTTTGTTTGTTTGTTTGTTTGTTTGTTTGCTTGCTTGCTTGCTTCTTAGTTTGTTCTGCTTGCTTGCTCGCTTGTTTGTTTGCTTGCTTGTTTGTTTGTTTGTTTAGCTTGCTCGCTTGTCTGTCTCGCTTGTTTGTTTTTGCTTGTTCCCTTTTTGCTTGCTTGCTTTTTTGCATGCTTGCTAGCCTGTTTGCTTGCTTGTTAGCTTGCTTGTTTTCTTTCTCACTTGTGTGGTTCATGGACAAGTACAGCACCTTGGAACGTGAACATCACCATCAAGACTCCCGTCTCTGCCCAGCGGTTCCTTTAAACTCAACCAACAAAACCCATGGCCACTGGGCATCTGAGGAGTAGCGTGTGTTGACTTAGCTTTTTGCTGGTTGAGCTGATGTTTTGCAGAGGGCAGCCGTGGAAAAAAAGTTGGGATTGGAACATAATGGCGCTGCGTTTCACACTTAGATGCTTTAGAAGCGACTTGGACTGTGGGATTCGGAACTTCTGACCTATGTTGTGCAAAGGCGAGCGGTATGTGTGCACAAGCGTTCCCGCTTCAGACGCCGCAGCTGTCGCCGCCTCAAGGCTTGGAATCAGCACTGGCGTCCGGCTTTGACACACCTTGCGGTGGTTCTGAGCATCGTCCGTTTGAGGTTTACACACATAAACAACCCTGTCTTTCCTCTGTCTATATATATATATATATTATATGCATATATAAATACATGATATCTCTTTTTCAAAACATATGAAACCATATTTAGGAAAACAAATGTATTGATCTGTGGAAATCGGATTTGTCTTCTTGACTGGTCGGCTCGGATGGCGCCTCATGAGCCATTGGACCGACACTTTTACGCATCCTTCGCGGAGGCAACTTGAGCGTCGCTCCACACGAGCACTACTATTCCCCACTCTGAGGGCGCGATATCTGCACGACTCCGTCTCGCCTGACAAGTGGTGTGTGACACGCTCGGAAGCTTGGAAAAGAACCCGCTGATTGATTTCAGCCGGGCAACGCATTTGAGGGAAAGTGTTGGCAGAAACACACATATTCATCCAGGTGTCTCGGAAATCGACCTCTGGCCTTTGAAGTCCTATTTGTATTTGTCTTTCAGGCCACCCCTCGCGTTGTTTGGCAGGTGGGGAAGTCTTCTGCTCGGCTTGGGCTGCTGGCAATCCCACTCCATTTTGTTGAAAAACACGCAGGGCGTTATTTTCCACAGGTTTCCACACCCAAGCACTTGGAGTTTTGAACATGAGGAAAAGCCGACAAGTCGAAGGGAATACCTCTTTTTTCTGTACCCAGGTTTCTTTGTTGGGCCTATTTTGCGCCTCACCTTTTTCCAAGGACCTGAAGTTCTTGCGATGGGACGTGCAGCAATTCATCTCGGCCGAGCAGATCGACTCCGACGGCAGTGAGCCGGACGCATCCTCGGAGTACGGGCCATCCATCTATGCCGTCACTGAGCAGTACCTTTGCTCTCATTTGACGTAGCTTTTGAGTATTGGCTGCCCGTTTTCATGTGGGAACTCAAGCATTTTGGAGAAACATTGTAATGCTGGGCCCCCTGAAAGAAAGGATTCAATCAGCAAGGACCCCCCCGTGAGAACAAGTGGGGAGAGCGGGGGTTATTAGATCATTGGTCGACATGATTTGGTACCATTTGATTCATCGAGCTCCGATAGCTCAGGGTAAATTGTGCTTGGATGCAGCCCAGGTTTCTCCAGCTTCGTTCTCACTTCCTGAGTTGGTGGACTTTAAATTTTTAGAAAGACCATTTTAGTGGTAAATACAAAGTTCAAACTTTTTTGGCCAGTCAACTTGGGAAGTGAGCGTTCCTTTGGCCTCTCCACCCCAAGGTTCCATGCTGGAGATGCAAGCATCTGCCTGCAACAAAAAAGCCAGATCGAACAGACAAAGAGTTCGAACGTGGAATCGCTGGGGTTTTCTCAACTCTCTAACACCCAGACTTGGTATTTTGCCCTGAAAGATTGCCCGCTTGCCCTCAGGATGGCCAAAGCACTTGTCGGTTTCTGCCGCGACACCGGCTTGTTTGGAGTAGCACTCTGTGCGTGTTTTTTGCCTTGTCCTCTTTTGTGGACTGGTCGTTTTTCAATTTTTGGGGAGTCCGTTGGGCTCCTAGTTTGTGGAAACCTCTGTTTGCTGGGGCCGTGTTAGGAAGCCAAAGGGAAACTACTTTCCATTTGGCGATGCAGCGTTCCTATGTTTGTGTTGGGGTTTTGTTTTTTGGGCTCTGTTTCAATTAGCGGGGCTGTGATTTTCCAGTGTCCACGCTTGGGTCCTATCACAGGTGCTGCTGCAGGAAACCCTCTAGTTTGCCAACAGTAGGATCGAATCCCAGGGGAAGTGCAGGTTGGAGGGATTGGGAGGGTTCTTGGGGGGTTGGGCGGGTTTGGGGGGGTTGGCGGGTTTTTTGGGGGGTTGGGGGGGTTTGGGGGGGAGGGGGGGGTGAGGGATGTTGTGCATCAGCTCGAAATTTCTCTCCAGGCGCGGCTCGATTTGGGGCACAATCAAAACCCAGGTGAGTGAAAGTTAGTAAGGGACAATCCCAACCATGAATAGCTGCGGCCGCCTTCTTAATTCTTTACATGGTTCTGTGTCGAGCATTTTAATACCGGGTTTTGAGCAGGGCTCCTGAAAAGATCTCCATTTTGCCTGCCCATTTGAGACATGTGGCTTTTTCAACAACAAAATAAAGTTGGAAACCACCATTTACAAGTTGCAATGCTCAGGTGGATCTATTGTAAGGATCCCTGTTGAGTATGACTCCTTTCTGATTTTTTTTGGGGGTCATCGAGGTACATCAAGCCGGTGACGGCCCTGGCGGGGAAGATGAGCTGGGCCTTGATGATGAACCCGGAGGGCCTGGAGGCGGACTTGTTCATCAGCCACGCCTGGCAGGAGGGCGTCTTCGAGTTCATCTCCAAGGCCTCGAGCTGGGAGTCGCTTTCTGAGTTGGGGGTTCTCAAAATGAGTTGGGAACCCCAAAATGGCTTGCCCCGGTAAATGGAGACAAGAACTAAAACCAGCGGTCTGGTGGTTTAATTTTGACCCACACCCAGTTCATGGACTTGAGCCTTGTGTGGCTTGGACCATTTTAGTGGTGCATAAAGGAATCTCACTGCCTGAGTTCATGAACTTTAAACTTTGTGGGAAGACCAATTTAGTGGTATATATAAAGTTTGGACTTCTTTTGGGCCATCCACTCAGCCAGTGAGGAATGGACTTTCTTTTGGCCATCCACTCAGGAAGTGACTTGCAAGTCAACGTCTTCGTGTCTTGTTTTTGGTTCCACTGGGTTTACAATTGGTTTTATTCTATCCATGAAGCAGGGCATCAGAAAGTCCCCTATGCGCTTCTTCTTGGTGTCCGTTTTAGAGTCTTGTTTTTGATAGATGGGTTCGACTGGTTTACCCTCCCACCAAACAACATGCCCACCCATTATCATGGAACCCGACAGGGACCCGGTCCCTTTAAAAGGCAAATGATTTTGCAGGATGCCCCTGTCAGGTGTCGCCTTATTTGGTGGGAGGGTAGATTGGTTTCATGCCATCCATTCACCAGGGCAGATGGTTTGTTTGATTGTTTTTGTTTTTTGTTTTTCTGAAAAGAATTACCGGATGCACCTCTATCAGCTTTGCAGGTTGCTGGGTATTTGTTTTAGGTGGTCCTCTACCTCTATGGGCGTTTGTTGGTCGCGTATCTGGACGGGCTATTTAGTTTCATTCCGTTTCAGTTCGAACTCCGTGAGGAAATGACGTAAAATTCCGCTTACCCGAATGGTTCACAGAACCTGGTTGGGGTTGATTTCTTTAGGTGAAAAAGATTTACCCACAGCTCTCCGAGACCTTTTTTCACCTCCAATGGGGCTATAGGGAGGGGGCTATCAGCCGTTAAAGCCTTTAAGGGTAACTTGAGGCTCATCCACGGCTCCAGCGATAGCTCCCATCCCCCATAGCCATATTTGGAGAATGACGTTCGAGGGGGTTGACTGCTCCGCCTGACCACACAAGGACCCTTTGAACAGCAATGTGGCTGTGGGTCACAACCAATGGTACCATTTTGGGGTAGGTGCACCACCCTTTTTAGAACCTATTTCAGTGGGGATTGGGATGTTCACTGGGTGTACGATTTGGATTTTGACCCATGGCCAAATAAACAGTTTAGACGTTGGCCAATCCACTCAGGAAGTCAGGGAGCGTGTATAGCTGACTTCATTTGCCAGAGCTCTTTTTCACCACCCATTTTAGTCGATTTCAGTGGGGATTGGGATGTTCACTGGGCGTACGATTTGGATTTTGACCCATGGCCATGTCACACTTCGAGGTCTAGAACTTTGCAAGGCTCGCAGTTGCCAAAGAGACTTTCGGCTCCCTTGAAGATGGCCAACATACGTCCCAATCCGCAGGGCTCCTGAAAAGATCTCCATTTTGCCTGCCCAATTGAGACATGTGGCTTTTTCAACACCAAAATAAAGTTGGAAACCACCATTTACAAGTTGCAAGGTTCAGGTGGATCTATTGTAAGGATCCCTGAATCCGCTTCTGGGATTGATGGCTGCCGATCTGCTTGATTGCTTGGTTTCCTGCAACTCTCCGAGAAATGGGCTTGTGGCATTGATGCGTGAGGCATTTCCCTTCCAGCCTTTAGCCAAGAACAATTTGTGACGGATTTTCCTCCCCCCCCCACTTGTTTGATGGATTGTGCCTCCTGCCTAAATGTACTTGTTGCTTAAAGTTATTCCCGTGTGCCGTTTGCCAATGAATTCGGCATTATTTTTGTTTAAGACACCGCATACGGACAAAGACCCCGACAGCCGTTAAGGCTTGTTTGGTACGACCTGCTGGATTGTTCAAACCTTTTGCTTGCGGATCTCCTTATTCGGAATGCGGATGTTCTTGTGATGGGGGCCCTACAAATCCTTTAATCTTCTTGGCGTTGTTTCCCTTGATTGACTCTTGATACTGTGGATGGACGAACTCCTGCACCACCTCAGCATCCAAGTGGTGCGAATCGGATTTCGCATCCATCCACAGTATTGCGGTTACTTCCCCTTCTAACCTCATATATTGGGGGGTTCGGGCGTCCCGGGGGATATGGCGGTTGGGGTTGGGCACGCCCTTGGGCCTTCAGCCCTAGCTGCTCGAGGGACGCGTGGGCGTGTTGTTTTTAGCGTACTGTTGTTTGGCGAAGTTCAAGGGACACCAAAAGGACAATCATCATTTATTTACTTTTTTGGGGGGTGGCTTGGAGCTGATTTGTGTTAGGTGTGCTGCTGGTTTAGCAGCGGCTTTAGGGTTGCTTTAGGTGTGGCTAAGCGAGTTTTGGTCTCGTTTGGGATCGGTTTTGGAGCCTTGCCCCAAACCACCAAAACTCGCCCACAACTCACTTCACCACACCCCAAAGCAGCCCTAAAGCCGCTGCTAACCCAGCAGCACAGCTAACACGAATCACCTCCAAACCAACCCAAACCCACTCTGAGTCAGCCC